CACACAGACTGTGAGCCCGGCAACTTGTCACTGATGTATATGGACACAATCTAACATCGTGTAGCAAATATTAGATCAAGTGTGATACAAAGCCGTGTAGGTTGTTTGACTTGCTGTACGCATCAGAGTCGACAAAGTAGACATACAAGGATTGTGCTTTTGTGATTTATTGATAAGGGACCATGGGATTTCGGGCATATTAAAAACCCCAGTGATTATTTTATTAGTGTATGAGAGGTCAGCACTAAAAGAAAATGTGTCCCTCAAGTTTTCGTTACGGTGAGTGAGGACGATGGGGTCTGTAAATGCAACCCAATAAGAGATTTGTTGGATTAATAGAAATTGTAATCCACACCAAATCAGGAAGTTACCATAAGAGTGGTTCATTCAGAGGAACTACCGAATATTTGTCTTTGACATAGAGTATACAGCCACCACCTCTACCATAAAGACGGTCATTACGAAAGATGTTATAACCCAGTATCCCGAACAATGTGTCAGGCATCTCCGCTGAACACCATGTTTCTATAATTAGTACTATATCCGAAGAAGAAAGGTGAAGAATATTACTCAGGGAGTGCATTTATTTAACAATGAATGGGAGTTAATTAAAAGTAAGTGTAGTGTCTTTTATCCGTTGGGTTGTCTACGTGAATCCGGTTACAGTACTCCAACGAGGTGGTATTTGGAGAGAGTGGAGTGGCCGTGGTGGCTACGGAGGACATATAATTTGCGGAATTAGCATCATTTGGGGGTGTGGCGGGTAAAACCCTACTGGACTCCCAAAAATGTCGTATGGGTGAAATGCTGGGAAAATTTCGACTCACTGTGAGATTAAAGTTTGCTGACTGTTGCATATAACCTACCTGCAAGTTAATATTATTTACATGTTGGGGTACTTTGAGAGGATTTTGGTTGTGTCAATTTCTCTCAGCCACTTGAAGTTCCCTAGCAAGTGGCTCACAAGTTATGGAGCGCACAGGTCGCATATTCAATTCCTGCATGGTTGATGCTATGCCGATTTTCTGCGGGTTTTCAGTGATGGCAGAGTTTGATGGAAGCTTTACAATATCACGGATTTTATTGTGCTTAGGAGCACGCTTATAGTTGTCACAGGAAGTTTTGCTACCAGTTTTTACGACTTGGCTATTTTGCAGTGTCTTATCTGTTAGAGATGTACGGCTTTTTGGAGAAGAGGTTTTCAATA